TTGAAGTGTTTTTTTTTTTTTTTTTTTTTTTTTAAAGGAAGATCTTCATGAGCCTTTTTATGGTCTTCCATTTATGGCTATTTGAAAATACATGTTTTTCTATTTTATTTCTAAAATATTTGGTTCTTGTTAAGTGTTTGTTTTGTGTTTGCCACTCCTTAGATCTAGGTTGAAATTAGTCCATGTGCCCACATACTAGTTGTACATTTTAAAAAGGATAATGCTGTACAGCACCACGCATCAGAGTCTACTGAACAACCATGGAGAAAGCAAGTAATTTTTTGGATATGAATAAAATCATAGGAAGTTACTAAAGTCAGTTCTGCAGTGGAAGCAGAAATTATTACAGTTACTATATACATTGAGCAATATCTACAAGGCTACAATACTGCAGAAATATCTGGTTAAATTCTCTCCCTTCCTTCATTGAAACAATACTTAGTGCACCCAGGTTCAATGTCAGAAAGATGATTTCTGTCATAGTCACCATAACAATAATGTGAATCATAAAAAGGCCTGAAAGACCTTTCCCAGAACATTTTAAATGCAATATCAACTTTTTGAAATATACAGCATCAGTAGAGAGATACCTGATGAGGTCCTCTGACAGTAGTCCCAGCGGCCTCTGAAGAGGGAAATTTTACTTCACAGACATCTTGATGTGTGTGCTCATGAACAAATTTGGGATCAATATCTCCAGTTGTCAAACACAAAGTTTTGTCCTGAGAATTTTCTATAAGCATGTTTGTAGGGTTTGGGGAGCTGTTTTTTTCAGTAGTTGTTAGGTTTTGCAAAGCTGAGGTTATGGGATCAAATCCATGTGCTTCAGATGAGTTAGAATTCAATTTACTGCTGTTCATAGCATGGTCCCTATGCTCCATGTTAAAATGACAATCTTGAAGCACGTTTTCGGGTATTACAGTACAAGGCATTGTTGGTTTATCCTGAGTGCTCTGCAAGAAAGCAGAGTCATTGTCTGTAGGTGGAAACTTGACATTAAATATAGAAAGTGATTCTACAGAGTTGTCTTCCTCATCTTGGCCCACTCCTCTTGGTGTGATAGATGTGATGCATGATGCACCTCTATTTATATCCTTTTTAACCCAAGGTTTAAAAAGCTCTTTTGCTTGTTGATCGTTTCTATCCGTACACTGGATGGGCAAAGAAAACTGGATATCTGTGAAGGGAGGAAAGGAAAAACGTCAAACAGAACCGATGGAAACAATAGTTCAAAGTAATCATTAATGCATAAAAAGTACAGATTACAGGCATTTTTTAATTCTCTTAATTTTTTATTGTTTTTTGTTATAATTTGAGGGATACTTCTCTTGCCCTCCTTTATGAATGTCAGCCCCAATTCAAATATTTAAACCAGAAATACGATTCTGCTTAGTTTCACTGTAACAATTCTATTCCTTTCTACAGTTTTAGGTATAAACACTCATTTTGTTGAAACTTATGTTGCCCAATACTCTTAACACACACATGCATATATTTACTGCACCATTCTGGCAGAAATAGAAGCTGTAACTGAAGATCTCTCATGAAGTGCCAACGGTCTGCGAGGCACTAAGAACAAGATTTTTTTTAAAAGGTATTTAGGCACCTCTTGCACTGATTTCAGTCAGGCAAGGTTTTAAATTGAACCCTCCCCCTCCCTCTCATGTTTTGGGAATGCTCAATGCGCTCCAGGCACTGAGCATGAGAACACACAAATAATCTATATATTGCAAAATAATTCGCAAATGTGACGGAGTAAGTCAGTCCTCCTGAAGTTTCCTAGATATAATGGTAATAGGGGCTACATAAATATACAGAAATCAGTAAGGTAAGTCTATACTAGTGATAGATGGTGATAAGAACAACTCTTAAGAGGTATTTGCCCCTTCTAAACTATGCAATGAGTAGTTTTTTCATGCAAAAAAAGATGTAATTCTTTATACAGAATAAACAATGCAAAGTAATTCATTTCAGAATCTTGACCAGCCTTATCTCATCAGCATTTGATGTTGCCCAAGTTTAGTACAACTAATTTTAAGTGGGCACAGCTATAAGTGAGTACCATTAAGCACTTTACCATTTATAATGTGTATGGTTATTTATTATAAAAAAAAATCATGGTAACCCATTAAATAGGTAAAGATGTTAAATGCAGATTTTATGCGAGTCCACTTTTAAGGAGAAATGCAAAACACATTATTAATAAAGATTGATAATACAGTGATGCCTACAGAGACCCAGTCAAGAGTAGCACACACTTACACCTATAGCAAGAAGAAAAACAAAACAAAACAAAAGATCAATCAAATGTTTGGAATATCTGCTGAATTTTCCAAAAATCACAAAAATTAAAGGGGTACAGTCAATATAATAATAATTTTAAAAGCAGCAGAACAACCTGCATGAAATAATGAACCATCAATTCATTCATGGAATTGTATCATACATTTACTTAATAGTATTACATGCGTCAAAGATACCTCCATGGATCAAGGGGACTGAAAGGGTAGGGTAACTGGATTCTTGTTTTAACATATTGTTTATGTCTCTCAAACTATTTTTGTCATAGCATATGCATTAGGAGAACCAGGGTTTAGGGCCTGGTCCTGTTCCTATCACAGTCAAGTCCTTTAATTCATTTCAGCTGCTGTTGAATTAGGTTCTTATTCAAGTACAGGGACAAGCTTTACAGGTCTGCAACTAGGAACTTTAAGACAAAGTCCTCTCCTAGGTCATGTCAATAATCCAACAGTCTTTTTTGACAAATGGGGGCCAACAATATTCATAATTGGTATTTTTATAAACTGACAAAATTAACAGCATACTTACTGGGTACCTATACATGAGATGTCTACTGCAGGGTAGACTAATTAGCTCTACAGTAAATGTCTGTGTCTGTATGTTCAGGGTTATGAGGCTGGAGTAAACTAATAAACTCTACAGCACTGCATGCCCCAGCCAGTCCCTCCACAGCATATTGAGCAGGGTTAGAGCAGCCTTGGGCTGGCAGGCTGACCCCCTGGGCCCATTGCCAGCCAGGGCTGCTCTGACCCAGCTCAATGTGCTGCAGTCTTGGGCACACATGTAAATGTAGTGCCCAAGAGCAATAAACTCCAGCGTGATAAGTGCTGGAGTTTATTATGTCGCATTAATATGTACATGTAGACATGGCCACTGAGAACCAAGAATCCATTACAAAGGACAAACCAGAATAATGAAAGTTGGCGACACTGGGATTGCCTTTTACCCATAGACTTTGGAATACAGATCACCAAAGATCAGATCTAATGGTGCATTTTCTTAGTGAACTGCAAAACACCATGTGAACAGACTTGAAAGAGGCAGATAGTAAATAGCAGTACTTTAAATGTATATGCAATTTACTGTATTTTCAAATATACAGAAAAGCTTTCAAACAGTTGGATCACAATAAGAATTAGGATATTACCAGTTACAGGTTCTCTCTTCATGTTAAATTTACTCAGTTGATCTGTTTGTTTTCTGGCTAATGTGCATATTCGATGACATTCTTCCTTTACCTCCTGGAAAACTGTCTCTAGAGCTTCCCTAAAAGTCCAACATTTGAAATGCAAGTGTCAGAGTTCAGTTCTTTCATGACCTTTAATTTACAAGTAGCACTCCACAAATGTGAGAGAGAAAAACAAATAGCTATTTAAAAAAACCCTCTTTTTCTCTAAGCGCATGTGCACGCATACACCCCCCCCCCTTTCAAAGACAAGTGGCAGGGAACAATGTAGGCAAATAAATATGATGATACAATTTTTAGCTGTTTAGTCACACATTCACATGCCCCTGCACAGAACTGAGTTGAAGCGGTAAACCTTTAGACGGCTGGGGTCTACAGAAAACCTCAGCCATAGACCTTTGTTTTTTTCTCCATTTCCTCCAGTATGAGCCATAATGTGCATTCTCGGCAAGTGTACTACTGTGATGGTCAGTCCAAAGAAATCAGCCACTGCTGCTGTGAACATTTATTTCTTCCTCTTTTTCCCCATAGACTTTAGTCTGTACAGGAAAGTGAACGAGCCATGTAAAAGCAGCTGTTATTTTCTTCTCCTTCCATTTTTCTATGTGGCATTTTTGTAAAGGGCTGGAGAACATCTGACTTAGTTGCCCCTCTCCTTCTGCGTAGCCAACATCATTGCTTTTTCCCCCTCCCACTTGATGTGGTTTTCTCCAGGGCCTTTTGTAGCATGCTACATGGCTGTCAAATACCTAGTTGATCATACTAAGAATGAAAAATAAAGTTTATCATGTAAGTGCAGATTCTGACTTCTCAAAAACCCTGCAGATTACAGTATTCACCTTACTTATGCAGCATAATACTTAAATTGAAGAATTTAGCTGTTCTTGTACACTGGCCTACACAGATTAAGCATAAATTCTTGGGGTGTTAAGGATAACAAGAATGTGGAAAAATGGATTTCTACTCCCTTTTACTTTTTCACTTATAAAAAGTTTGAAAGAGATTTTTTTTGTCTGTGTTTTTCTTATTGCCTCTATCATAACGATCAGGAATGTCAAGTGCCACCTTGATAGTTTTGCTGAAGGCCTCTGGAAGAGATGTAGATTAGGACCTTGCTCCAAAAAAAAGAATCATCTGAAAAAAATGGCAGCAGTTGCATAATTTGTTCCAACTGTTCTTAGATGTTTTAATTAATGAGGTAAAACACACCCAAAACTGTGAACAGTTCAAATAAAGTATCATTTTTTGTATCAAATCAGGTTTTGTTTGCAATTCTACTAATTTTCCAGTCACGCACAGCCGTCCAAGGAATAGCTTTTCTTTTTTTTTTATACATTAAAAATTCAAAGAAAAAAAGAATTGGGTAGGGAGGAGAAGTGATTTTACAGAACAATGGAAAGGTCTACAGCAACTAATACTTGCTCATTAAATATGGTGAAGTTCAGTTTCATCTCCCTAGTCCCCTTCTCATGATCATGTACGGATGACAAAGTCTCTGCCGCAACAGAGGCTGGGGCTTCATGGATCAAACCCAGCTCTGAACTCCGATTCAGAACAAGGCAGTCTAAGAATTATTTCCTTGTGCAGACTGAATCCCCTCCTGGCAGCACAGCTGGCTCCTCTGCTGTGCTGCCATCAGTTATTCCACCATGGCTGCACATTCCCCCTCCAAGATGAGCTAATGCCATCCAACAACCCACATTAACAACTACTGCTATTTCCAAAGGAGACTGAACCCCTGCTGCATCAAGCGGCTGTTTTTCTTTCTCCCAACATGCCCCTGAATACCCACAGAGCCCCAGCTATGCTTCCACATGCTGCATTGGCTCTTCTCTCCTCCCCATTCTGGACTTCCTCCACTCTCTCTATACTCTAGAAAGGCAGGGAAGCAGCTCGCTTTGTTACTTTTTAGCAGATGTAAACATTAACAGCTATTTGCAAAAATGCAGCAAAATTATATACCTTTCAGGCACAGCTGAAATACCAGGGATCCCTGGAGATAACTCAAGTCTATCTGAAGCAACCTTTTTCCCTTTCACCTTGAAGTAAAATATGAAAGTAAAGAGCCTGTGTTAGCATACATTTTTCAATTCTTATATTTACATGCACTAACAAAAAGGCAGATTAATGAATGTTACCATATTCATCAACATCAGTGGAACCAAATTATATTCCTAGCAGTCTAAAAACCCATCTACAAATTATGTGGGCAAGATAGAAATTTATGAAGAATTGGGTGTCACAAATTTAATAATACAATTCTTTGTTTATAGAGCAATTCTCATTCAAGACTCACAGGACTTTAAAAGGTAGATAAAGATTATCTTCCTTTCATGGAGATTGAAACTGGCAGACAGAAGCTGTACTTTAATATACTTGTAATTTAATCATGTAGCTGGTCAGGGGCTTGTTACACTGGGACTCAGCTATTTCTAAAAAAATCAATTCAGCTCAGCATTTTTCAAGGAGCAAACCACAGGCACTGTCAAGTATTCTACCATGATTTTAAACAAGTTATTAACTTCGAGTACCACCTTGTGGATCACACTAGTATTACATGAGCTTTAAAACTGCCATCAGCTAAGAAGCAGGAGTTGTTACTAGTCAAAGTTTGTATCTGCACGGTGGTCAAGGAGGCTTCTACAGTTCCAGTAGACACCTCTGTTAGCTTTAAACTAACTAAACTGGTTACTGGTAGAAGCAGTACATAACTCTGCAAGTTGCACAACCTGCCCCAGAAGCTGGGTAAACAGTTAAGCAGCCCACACTGAGCTCCATGCTATTGTACCAGCCACACTGTTACCAGTAGAGAGTTTATTTTAAAGCTGGCTCAGGCCTGTGTCCATTAGTTGTAGCTGCATCCTTGACTACAGCTATGAAATACCCTATGTTTATTTTAATTCTTCCTGGTAAGTAAAATTCCCTCTCTGAACGGAGTGAAATTAAAAAAAAAAAGAGTAACTGAGAAGCTATGCATTCAATTTGCAATGATATGATATTAGAGAAAGCTATTTAAAATACAAAGCTGAAAAATTAAAAAGCACAAAACAAGTATTTTATGGCTTAATCAAGAAGGAACAATACTGCTGTATATATTTTAATAATCTTGCTAGTAATTAATGTACAGTTTTCTTCTAAAATCTGTTTACTACAGTGAATAATATAAAAAGAACAGAAAAAAGATAATTATTTGAAAAATTATAGTTTTATTATATTATATTCTTACCTCCATTTTATATACTGGCATCTGCATGCAATTTTGTACTTTATTTAATTCTATTAACCTGTTATTTAAAATCCTTATTTTTTCTTCTTTTACAGCAATAATTGACACAAGTTTCTTTTCTTTTTGATTGCTCTCTTCCTCAATTTGCTTCATTCTGATGCTCTCATTCTCCAATTGTTCCTACAAAAATGGGACAATGGGTTGATATTTCCAGGCTAGGAGATGTTTCTTTATGTACTAGCCTGGATAGGCTAAAATAAACATCTGCAATCTAAACAAAAGTGTGGTAGAATTAAAAGAAATTTTGAAGAGGGTGACAAAGTCTTCAGATGCTTCAATTTTAGCATAAAAGTACTGCTCAAATCCCAAATGTTAAATAGGTAAATTGTTGGTTTTTATATTAAAAATGGAATTTTATACAAAAAACCTAACAGTATATAAAAGGAAAAATTCATTATCATCTATGTAAGGAGGTGATCCTTGGATCATCAGTGCAAAGACAAGGTACATGGCTTGAAGCATAGAGATGTGGTTACAAAAGCTATGTTTCCCTGAAACCTGTAGAAATAACTAACGGTTGTGTGGGATTGCTAACAAACTTATACTGGAAACAGCAGAAGAGCGACTGATTCATGTTAGCTGTCTATATAAGGTTAAAAAAAGGGAAGGAAAGAGTGAATTTCAGAGAGATTCAGGAAGTATAGGGACAGTCATGTGAGGCAGAAAACAGCAGAGTATAAACAAGGAGTTTTTTAATTAAATTGTACTTTCAATGTGTCATAATTAAAACAGGAGCTAGATCTTCACTTGGGTCAAGTTAGATTTATAGTGTACCAGAAGTAGCTAAGCAGATCAGAAATAGCCATTGTTGTTTAAATTTTGAAAACAAACACACACATCTTTTTACAGAACAAACTTCTACTTGTTTCATAAGTCATTCGAACAGGAAAGTGCAAGTGGGATTTTTTTTTTTCAGATCTGGTGTCCCCTCCCTAAAAAAAAAAATGTATGTTTGCATCACTCTAACCTTCATTTCTGCCAAGACAGGTAGAAAGAAACAATGTAATTTTGGACTTGGATTTGGGGTTAGGAGAAGTTACATACAATGTCAAGACAACAGGAAATCATGCTATATGGCAAAATGATTATTTGAAAAACAAGGTCAATGTGGAAGACAAATATGAGGTCAGGTGCTCATGAGACCTCAGGTGTGTTTCAATAGTCTAACAGCATGTAACTGAGTGGAGAATGAGGCCAAAGGTATTCAGTTTTCACTCAGAAATGACACCAACATGCCAGGAAGTCAAGAACAATGCACTATACAGAGATGTATATTTATACATTTGCAAAGGGCTGGAAGAAGAAAGGAACAAATACAGAGGAAAGCCAGGAACTTCAATGAGAAATATTTGATTTGTTTATTAGGAGTCCGTGCAAGGGTGAAAAGACACATTTGAAATGAGATAAACAGCGATTACTCCACATAGGGACAATGTAAGAGAAAAATCCAGCTCTGGCCAGAGATACAAAGACATGCATGTGGCTGTCCCATCAGTGCCATCTCAAAAGGCTGCACAAAGGTCAATATGTACTGAACAGTGAGGTTTGGATAAGAAGCTTTTCTTTGCTTTAAATTGTAAATGTAATCAATCCTGGCTCAGTGCTCTAGGTCAGAAGTAGGTTGAGGTTGGGTTCCTGCATATCACCCAGTACAAAATAAACCTTTCTTTTTCTCAGAAGGCTTCCATTCACTGAGTAGCCAGAGCTGTCAACGGGGTTTTTCTACCTAAGGGAAATTTCTAATCTTTCCGACCATCTGTAGACCTCACATATCCACTTCTTTTAAATAGCACTACAGCTATTCCCTCTATTTTCCAGCTGTCATTCTCTAGCTTTGAATACTGTTACCTCCCATATTGGTAACTAGTGGTAGAGGAGTCCTTCTACCAGATTTGACATTTCAAAAGATAAGGAGCATATATTAGACCCCATTTCCAGGATAGGTCATTAACCCCTCTCTGTTCTAGTCCCCCCTTATAACAAGTAGTCAGATGAATACTATCCAAGTCCAAGTGCTCTTGAAAACTTCCAAGGGTTGAGATTCCACAGTTTCTTTAGGCAGCCTGTTAGGATTCTTGACTGCCCTCATAGTCAGAAAGTTCCCCTAATCTCCAATCTAAATTTCCTCCACTGAAACTTGAAGCTGTTACTCCTAGCCCTGTCCTTTATATTCATGAAGAAAATCCCATCTCTATCCCCTCTGTAATCACCTGTAAGGTATTTGAAGTCTGTTATCAAAGCCCCTCAGTTTTCTCTTCTCCAGGCTAAATAACCGTAGTTCTTTCAGCCTTTACTCATAAGTCTTGCCCTAATCATTTTTGTTGTTCTCCATTGGACTCTTTCCAAACTGTCCACATCTTTCTTGAAGCATGGGGGCTAAAACTGGACACATGAAGGAGACAGATTTTTACATTCAGTTCTTAGAAAAGAGATGAAGTCTGGAAGCTTTAGGATAAAAAGCTATGTGCCAACATTTCCAAAGACAGATGATATCGTTCAAAATATAGAAGCTAAATTTCAGATTAGCCAGCTAGGGCTGAGAGAAAACAAAGAGAATAATGGAGAGAGGAATAGAAGGCACAGAAAATTATTGTCTGGTGTAGATGATCTTTGAATGCTCAAACATATTTGGGACCATGGGAAGCAGCAAAGTATTTAGGTGAAATTTAATGTGCAGACTTCTTAGAGTGAATGTTAGGTAGAGGCAGCAGTGTGTTTGGATAAGATACTCTTTTTACCAGGTTTGAATATAATGACTTGAAGCAAATTATGGTGGAGCCAAGAGTTGTGTTAGGTTCAGGCTTAAGATACAAAGGAGGTAAGAAAAACAATACAGAGTAAAATCCAGAATAAAAATGTAACCACTGCAAAGCAGATTCAGTATAAAGTTTTTAGGGTGCAAAAAAAGCATGTTTGGGACTCCTTTACCCCTTCTGTGCAGCTCTCATGCAGTCCAGACAGTACTGTGCTTCTCTTTCTCTGGCAAAAAAAGTTAAGCAGAGCAGAAGGTGAAGCGATCAAAGGAGTCCACATGTAAGCACTAAGCAAACACCAATTGCAGTGAGAGCTGCTCCTCTCCTCAAAGGAGGAAAGATGGCACTGCAATGCCTTTCCAGTAGTTTGTGTAAAGTAGGAAAGAAATGCCCACTTCCAGCATAGAGGAGTTAGGATGGATATATAAGGAAGCACAGAAAGAGAAGAAAGACTATTCATGTGAGAGTGTTGAAGAACCAGCACACTATCATTGCTCTAATATAAGCATCATATTACAGTATTGTGAAGAAGGCATTTCATTATATGATAGTGAAAGTCAACTTCACTGTTAACTACCAAGACGTAACCAGGTAACTGCTAGTTCCCTATCTAGCACCCTCTCCAAGTCATTACGCTGCCCTCCCTACCTGTTACTAATATCATGGCAGTGGCATACGAACCTGTAAGAACTGGAATAATCAATGCTGAAGTCACCCAAACACACTGTGGTAAGCTTTTTTAGACTGGCTCAAGGTCCCATGAGCACTACAGTACTATGTGACTAGTGTCTGGCTCAAAAAATACCTTTAGCCATACTATGGATTTGTACTGGGATTGGCAATGGAGATGGAGATCATACTTATGTCACAAACAGATCAGTGACTCTCCCTTTCGAGGAAGTTATCCTGTGAGGGTCAAGGAGCCATTTTACTGCTCTGTTCTATTAAATGAACAGAACTTACAAGATTTCAGATGGCTCCCAAGAAGAATACTGTTTAGCTGATAACTGATATTAATGGTCTTACAGAATATTTACCCTCTTTTGTCTAAATATTGGTAAAAGATTCCCATTCCCCTTAAGCAACTACATGAGTCACCTGGAATACAAATGGCCTACAAAGATGATGGGGAAAAAAACCCACACAGCTGATAGCAGAATTCTGCATACGTGGATCCCACTAACTCTGCTTTACACCACTTCATTGGACACAAAAGGAATTTAAATAGAATTAAAATGGGCAAGCACAGAGAACTGTCAGCTAGTATGAAGCCAGCATTGTCAAATACATATCACCTTCTCCCATCTTCGGTACAAGGAGTCAGGAAGAGAAATAATGGGGTAGGATACGCTAGAATACACATCTTTCTTTTGGACTGCTTCAAACAGTTCAGTTTAGAGCAGTCATTTCCCACGCCTCTGGTGATGTTCAGAACCATTAAGACATAACTCCTGAATACCTTACTGTAGTATAAATAAATTAAAATCTTTTATCAGACAGTGCATGACATGGAGAGGGTTTCCTCTTGTGTCACGGTCCTGATCAATGGCAAGTTTCTTCAGTCGGTATATATATAAAGCCATTTCGTCTTGGCTGCAGTGTCAAATATTGTTCATATACTTCAAGCATAAGATTACAGTAATTCAGTTGGGAGAGAAACTCAAGATCTTTTTTGCTTGGGTCCATCTAGTTTTGCTTCCTAAGACTGCTGATTTGTTGTGAAGCTTTAGATCAGCCCATCTTAACTGATAAAATCTGGCTGGAAATGCTAGGGTTATCATTGGCCACATACTGACATATTGTCCCATTAGTCTCCTGAAGGGCAATGTTAATTACTGTTAGCCTTTGGTCCATATTTACCACCTCTTCATGCTGATGATTATGCCAAAGGTAACCTCCTTTTTGGGGGGCTCGGGGGAAGATGATTAAGAGGGATATGGCAAAAAAAAAACTGTGGCAAGAAAGGATTTCATGGATTTCCTTGATCCCCAGTCCCGTTTCTGGCCTGGTTCTGGGATAAGATACACACTGCACTGGTATTTTTAAGAAGTCTCCTTTTGGGAATAAATGAAAATCATATGCATTCTGATTTTTTCAGATTAAAAAGCAAGTACCTGAAAAAAATAAGCTAACTATGAGATGGTATTCACACACTTGCAGGCTCCAGAGACAAAAGTGATCCGAGAGGCCAATTTTCCCTCTTCAGTAGGACCCAGAAGGCAGTGTTGAACAATGCTCAAGGGCCCTGTCAGGTTGGGTTGTACAGGATTCTATTCTGTCATCCCCCTGATCAATATATATGAATGCCAGAGAGGGAAGCTAGATTGCACTGTAAACAGTATATAGATAAAACAGAAAAATATGGCTGTCTCTCATAAGATCCAGGTGTAGAAATAAGTGATTCCAAAACATCTAATAAAGTACCATTTTAAGTATCTGGAAATTAGGACATAATTCTTCTCTAATTACAGACAGTTATTCATTGACTTCACTGGATGGAGGACTGAACTCAGAGAGATTCCAACAGGGACAGATGAAGACAGTTTAGACATTTAAAAGAGAAGTTTAAAAGGAAAACACAAGCATTTACAGAACTGGGGAAGACACCAAACATTAACCAGGAATAGCATGGAGAACATAAATTACATTTTTCTTAAATATGGATGTTCTTTCTACATTTACTGAATCCTACCATTAATTTAGATTTTGTGAGTCTAGCAGTTTTGTTGGGGGATGCAGCTGAAACTAGTTCACATGATGGGGGACAATGTGGACATAATTCATCTAGTTTAGGGAAATAATTTGATACAGTGTCTTCCAAAAAATCCTCAAACATAATAGAAAGTTAACTCCTATAGTTAAGTTGATAAAGAACTGGTTTTTTTATTGAAGACCATAATTTCAAGAAGAAGCTATTTAAATTGGGTGGAGAGGTAGGAAAAATACTACAAGAACAATGTTATTAAATGTGTAATTAAAGACCTACATTAAGTAAGGGATGCAATGTACACATGGCACAATATCGTATTCAAGAGTAGAAGGTATAAGTTAGAACACTGCTTGACTAGACCGGGTGTGGACACCTAGCTCATCATGTCTTCAAAAGAAAGGTGCTGAACTCAAATTCAAGCGATCACAGCTAAGCTCCCAGCTCTGTCACAGACAACCCATGACACCATGAAAGTCAAGTACTCTCTCTGCATCCTGGTTCCCTTTTGACAAACATGGATAACATGCTTCCTTTCTCCCCTTCTTTACCTATTTAGTTTATTTAAACTTCAAGCTCCTCAAGACAGCGCCTGCCTTTTAATATCTGTTTGTACAATACAATGGGACCCAAAACTATAATGCAAACAACGCACAACTAAGTGTAGAGAAATATAAAAATCTGCAAGTATGTGACAAAGAGTTAACCCTTCAACTGAATTTTATTCAAGCCATCTAAACAAGCACAAACAATGAAGAGAACAAAGCTGAGGAGCTAGGGGTGCTACTCCACAAAACACAACCATATGAGGATGAGATTTTTGTATCCTCCTTTCTAGAATTTCCCTAGTAATAAATTAAATTTTTTTTAAAGAATCCTTAGACTCAAATTAGATTCCTACAAGATAATTAGCAACGGTCACTAATCTGATAAAATGATTTTCAAATTAACACATCTGATAAAATGTGCTTAGTTCACAGAAATGGAGGATTAGTTTGTACATAGCAAACAAATCCTGAAATTAACTTTTGAAATCCAGTCTTTTCATTTTGCATGTCCTTTTTTTTACGCAGAATAAATTAGAGAACCTCATTGAGGTGCCTGCCCCAGAAGATGCAGCAAGCTGACCAGCTCTGGGAATGGCTCAGCATTGTGCTCATCTCTCTCACTACCTCCGCTCAGCGTGGGAGCCTCATGTAAATTACTTCCTACCTCCTGAACACTGCTGCTCTGTTCTCATCCCTGTCACTTCAGTGGGCTATGCTGAAAATCTGTGTGGCTTCAGCAAACAGGATATGAAGAAAAAAAAATAGACTCAGCCAGTTTGGATTACTTAAAAAAAAAAAAAAAAATGGAGATTCACTCTCCACCACAATCACATGTTGGTGAGAGATGTGTCAAGTCCCCACCCCACTACAGGGTGTGGACAGAAGTAACAATTGAAACCTTTCCAACTGAAACATACTTGCAACTGTTTCATAAAGGAAATATTTCATCCAGGAGCCACACATGCCTCTTGGATGTTCCTGCCTAACATGTTTCAGAGCACTGCAGCCACCTCTAGTGCTTGCCAGGGGGTGCTAGAGCAGACTAGTGACTTGTGGCTCCACTCCAAGCTCTCTCCTCTTCCTCCCTCACAAGGCAAGAAAGTAGAGAGGAGGAGAAGGGAGAAGATAGTGGAGCACTCCCCAGCCTTGCTGCCATGAATCTGTTCCTCTAGCTCTGATCCCCACTACCTTCTCAGCCCAGCAGAGAGATAGAGGGAATTGGGGCTGAAATGACTTTACTGGCACTGGGCCTGGGAGCTGCCAGGGATCTGGGGGGCAGGCAGCGCAGTTGTAGTGGGGGTAAGCTCAGTTCCAGGTCTGGCAAGGGGGTGATTTACTAGAGTGTTCAGGGGTCCCAACGGGAACCAAACAGTGCCCCAGGAGCCAGAGTAGGATCCAGCAGGACCCATCCACTTCCCTTCCCCTTGCATCCAGATATATAAAAAAAGGGAAACAGTTCAAAATAGTACTTCCTTTCAAGATGTGCTATTTTGGAGTGTCTCAGCTACTTTAAGAATGTTTCAGAGGGCTTGTATATGTGGAGGCTCTGAAATGCTTTAATCATTATGTGTGTCCACACCCACAAGCACATGTTCCCTGCATGAACTGCAATATGCTCTCCTGAGCAATAAGTGGGAGCTCTTTCTTGAATGCTACTTCGGTGAGGTAAAGAACTAGGTGAGCACACAGCTACTTTCTCTCTTACCCAGTGCAGAGCATCTTCAACATCATTCCAATGAACTGGATTTCCCAGTTCTTGTTGCTCTTTGGCAGAAGTAGAGCCAGATCCCCAGCTGATGAAAATCAGCACAGCTCAACCCACTACAGCAGAGCTGTATTCATTTATGCCAGCTGAAGATCTGCCCCTGGAAAAAGACAGTTCTAAGAGTCTCTGAAACCTCATTTCTTTTCTGGGTCCTCAAAGCAGAAATATAACCTTATATTAAACACAGAACAGGCAACTGTACCTTTAAAAATTTCTCATTTTGCATTGCCAGGTTCAGTTTTTCATAAAGCTGATCAAAAGTTAAGTTAAGGGAGATGTCATTTCTCTTTGTTTCAGGGTCTTCAGGTAGAACATAACCATGTGCATTGCCTGAAAATAAAAACAGCTCTGAGCATCACTATTTTTGTTCTGCCATGTTAAAAAATAGCAACATTAGATACACTGGTTGTTTTGATTAGGCTGAGTTTCATTTTAAATATACATGACTTATTAGACCTTGCTTTTTCCCAAATTCTGTCCTCAAACACTTATCTAGAGAACTGGGCAAAACCAGCAAAATATTCGCATATTCTTGGGGAAAAAAACTCCAATTTTATGACATTCAAGAAAAGTAAGAGCATTAACCAAAAGCATCCATGCTGGAAATGTTCTATTTTCCATTATTTGTACTATCAATTCATACAATTAAGAATATTCATTGGCAATTTGAACAGAAACACAAAGTCTGTTTTTTAAGCTTTGGTTATCCAGTAAGTTAACATCAGAATTCCATGCAACTTACCTGACCAAGCATATACTGTATTTCCTCACATATTTTCCCCAGAAATCAGCACTCCAAAACTGGGGTGTGTGTAGGGAAGCTGATTTTCTTCACCAGAATTTCATTGCATGAAGGCAACAGGAGGACAAAGACACTGAGCTACAAGATGGCTGCCAGCTTCTCTGTTCCTGCTAGGAGGTAGAAGGGGCCACAGTCCAGTGCTAACCTTTTTACAGTTACTCTCAAACTGGCACCTGTTTTTTTGGCAAACTTTATACCATAATAGGGGCAGGGGGATATGTAGTAAATATGTAATACTGAGGTGGCACTCACCACAGTACTACATATTCCCCATATCTTTGTTATGGAATAAAACTTTCCAAGAACTTGTGACAATTCAAGAGACTGTGAAAGAGTTAATACTGGACTGCCTCCCCTCCTGCTTCTTGGCAGGGATAGAGAAGCTGGCAGCCATCTTATAGTACAGTGCCTTCATAAAAAAGCCAGCTCTATGCTATAACTCCAGAAAAATCTTTTTTCTACATTCTGCCTTCCAAAAACATGATGTATGCCATATTTGGGGGAATGTCGTATGCAAGAAAATATGGTAGTATAAAAAACATTTAATTACAGCACCCAGTTGTATAACAACCTACAAACTAAAGCTTCTTCACACCAATTAGTCAAATATCTGAATAGTAATAAAAAAGCAAACCCTGTTCACAGACAGTTTCTTATTACAGCAAATATTTTTAAGACCCCATATAACTTCCATTGACTTCAATGTGAGCAGGGTGTTTTTTATTCTCACACTTCTTGAAATATGTATTTTCTTGTGTGCGTCTGTATGTGTGTGTCTGTGTGTGTATATAGATATGCATGTGTGTGTGCGTGCACGCACATGCACATATACATACACACCCAAGGAGATGCATATCAAGTCATACAAATTAGAATACATACCTCTATCAGTAGCTAACTGTGACTTGAGTTTTCCAATTATACCTTTTTGAAGCTCTATCTGTTCCTGCTGTTCCCGTATTTGCTGTACATAGCTTTCCGTCTGCAAATATAATATTTGAATTAGCACTAGTCTTTTTTGTGATGGCCAAGGACCTCATCTTTAGCAGATGCAGGTTAACAACTCTGGTATTATGATGACTACAGCTATGGATTATGCACAATAATCCAACTATTGTCACCTGTGACATGTTACAGTTAAGTCTGTACTGACTCAGAAAAGCAGCAATCAGTTAGCTGCTAGATTACAGAAATCTAGATTCCAACAGTAGCAAGTAGCAAGATAATTTCTAAGTAAAATAATTTGTATTCCAGGGATGCATAACTCAAACTCTACTGAGGCTATTTACATGGTACATTTTCCAGTGGAGGATTACTTACGCCAGTGATTCTCAACTTGGTGCTGGAGCACTCTGGAATGCTGTGAGATTCTTTTAAGGGTGTCATGGGATGCTGTACAATATTAGGTATACAAGCACTTACACAAGATAACCCAAAGATTTCAAATAGGAATCCAACATAGTGTCAAAACATTCTGACCTGTTGTGGTCTTTCCAGGTTCTTTGCTGTTATTTTTCTGGAGTCAAAAATAAGTGAAAGCAGAGCTGGCATATTCTGAGTGGTGCCTTGAGTCTAATGAGCAGTATGAAAAAAGTTGAGAACTACTGGCCTACCTGTATGAGTGGTCTGGTCAACGGACTGGGTGGCCAACTGTCTGAAATATCTGGTGATTGATACTACTGTGGCAGGCCGCATGCAGCCCACAGGCTGTTGGTAGTATACCCCAACTTTATTCATAACTATGAACTAAATTATTCATGTTTTAAAATGAGGGTATTTTGGTACTTGTTTATTATTTCATAGGGTTAGTTAGTTGCCTTGTTTACCATAACAGAACACCCAATTTAAGGAAATAAATCTAACCCTTTACATAAATATACTGATTAATTTTCTCCCCTAATATACTTCTATCCCCATAGCAGATATTCTCCACTCAACTAAGAAAATATATTCCTCAATATTTCATTTATTCAAAGAAAAGAGAGAAGATGTATGTCTTTTCTGGGGGATCTGGAGGACACAGGTTGCAAAGGGGAGGAAGGGCTTAGTCAGCAGAGAAAGGAATGTGTGACTGATCAGCATTACTTTGCATCTAACTTTGCCTGATCTCCCCTCTGGCCAGCATCTTGGCCTGGTCTATCAGGTCAGACAGAATGCAGAAGGACCCTCAGCTACCCTAAGATGCATGTATATTAGATAACCAATTAAGAAAATGACAGTCAGGTGTGATTGAGGTATTTGAATAGCAGCAGAATGGAATTATACAACATTATTCAATTAGCCTGCTCTTGCTGCAACAACACCAATAATATTGAAATTATGACAAATAACCTGTGAAATTTTTTTCCAAGCAGCTTTTAGGGGTGGGGGGGAATTAAAAAAGCAAATCAAAAGGAGAGATGAATGACTGAGCAGAGAAAGAACTGGGGCAAAGTCAGAGGCTGCTATGAGGTTAACATATATAATTAGTCTTAATCTAATCTGTAATCTTTTTTTAATTTAAAAATATATTCTTGTCCACAGAGTATGTAAGAGTGTATCTACCCAAGTTTGCCTTAACAGGGCATATAATTGTTGCATTGCATGAGCATGGAAAAATGATGATATAGCAGTACACTCCAGCAGCTACAAGAGATCTCCTGAAGCAGAAAAATCACTGAGAACCAAATTGAAAATGTACAACAGCAATGTCTTGTCAACACTTCTGTACAGAGCACAGACATGACAGCTAAAACAGACAGAAGAGAAGATGCTTTTGACAGCCAGTGTGCACAAATTATTCCTTGAGTCAGATGGCAGCAACAAGTTACCAACTAGAAGATCTGCATGACAACCAACCATCCATCTGTATCAAACACCATCTGGCCGAGATGACTCTGGCTTCTGTGTGCTTGACATGGCTCCCAGCTCTGGAGACTGGCAAAACAAGTGGCCCACCAATAACTTAAGTAGTAAACTGTTAACAACAAAATCGTGGACATTCCAACAAAGTGCTAAGGCCATGGAGCAAATGGGAAGGAAATACAGTACTAGAGCAAAGCACCAAATATGGGTCATTAAAAAAAAATCTAAGGTTTGGTAAGAAACCCCCAACACCTTGTATCCCTAATGGCTCTCTTCTGTACTTACAGAAGCTGATGGGTGAAGGAGGATCTGGACATAGGTTTAAATTATAGGAACCCTTTATGAAAACCTGCTGGTTTCAAACAGAGCAAAATGTAAGACCAATCCCACAGAAATGTATTTCCTTTACTCACCCACATCTTTCTTATGTTCTATTTTTTTCATAGTGCTTTAGAAAGACTATTCCCTCAGCTTGTATTTAATTTCTTGTTTTGAGAGCAGCCAGTTTTATGTGTGTTGCTATGTACTCCAAAGAGCCAAGTTGATAATGAGCAATTATTTCAAAGAACACAGATAAAGGTAGAGTTCAGAAGTTTCTCAATTGTTCTTAAATGAGCTGCCTTTAGCAAAGTGAGTTCTTCACCACAAAGTTTACCAACTAAGCAAACTTAGCAGTTGTCATATATGGAAAGCAAAATCTACAAAATCACTTTTGGATCAGCATTATTGTAAACAATGAATCCTGATTAATTGAACAGTGTATGATTAATCACATATCCACACACAGCTGATCTGAAACCTGCTCTGCAAGAATTCATTGGCCTATTTAAGCCTACACCCGAGGCTTAGATAGGATTTCAAAATAAAGCATGCTTCCTTGAAGACCTTCCTTGCCCCAGGATCCACCATTTCCTCCTCCTGTACTTTAAAACAGCCTCCAAACTGGATCCCAGCATGGCACCTCCAGTGAGCTGTGTATAAGCTAATGAGCACTGATGAGCCTCAACCATTTCCACAGCAGGGTCTGAAATGTTTTACATTCCACCATGCAACAGCAGATGCACAGTAACATCAGTACCACAGAATTATGAAATGCTGCTTTTGCAATTATGTACATATGACTACCAGCTCCAGACAAATAATAGAAAAGCTGTGGCCAGCGCAACTACAATATATGCATGCCAATGCTTGTTAGGATTATCTAAAGAAGCTGAGAGAAAGTGGGTGATATCTTCTTTTGTACAAACTGCATGGTTGGGATAAAGTTAGACAGGTTTTCCCATGCCAGGCACTCTTCATCATGTCTGACTAGACAAAGTGACCCAATGAAGGTGACCTGATGAAGAACGCTTTATGCTCAAGAGCCTGTCTAACTTTATTTCATTCTTCATCAGGTCACTTTGTCTGGTCAGACATGATGAAGAATGCCTTGCATTTCAAAGCTTGTATAAAACTTTATTTTAACTATGTACGTGGTCCAATAAAAGATATCACCCACAAAAATCCTTGCGTCCAACACAATTCCTGGACCATCACAACTACAACGTTACTCCAACACTCTCAAGAAGCTGAAAAAACCCAAAGTGTTCCTCCTAACTGTTCAGACTCTCCTCTGAACCAATCCCCACTGCTTCTTTATTACTAACAAAAGGTCCTAAATAGGGGTGCACCAATAAAGATTTTCTTGACTGATATTAACGGCCGATGATTAACAAACAATATCAGCTGATGCTGATCCAATAACCAATATTTAGTAACAGTGCAGGGCATTTTAAACTACTGACATAAATAAACCTTTTGGGGTTTTTTTGTATTTAAACACACACGCCTCCTGCCTGCTCTCGTTTTTAATGAGGAAGGCGGTGACTGCCTAATTCCCACACATTGCCCTCTTGCCCACAGCTCCTCCCTACAGCCCCACTCTCTGTGCAACCCATGCTGCTGTCCCAGGAGGGTGGGGTGGACCCTCGTGCAGACAGCTGCTCTGGCTGCATTTGGAGCCTCTTAGCACACCACTGCTTCAGCACTGGCAGGCCCCGCGCAGCCAAGCTCCCATGGCTTCTGGAGAGAAGCTGCTTTTGCAAAGGTGCCCCATGCCCAGCAGAACAATTTCCCTCGTGCGGTGCCTTACCCCACCCATGCACAACCCAAAGCTTCTGCAGCAGCCCTGATGCTTAGGCTCCTGCTACGTGCACAGCATTGCTATGGCAGTGGCAGCAGGAGCAGGTGCCGGGAAGAGTCCCTTTGTTGCTGAGCGTAGTGCCCTGCGACTACTCCTGGGCGCCCCTTTGCCCTCCCACTGCTCTCCAGGACCTGTAGGCTGCCGTGTGTTCAGGCCAGCAGCACGGTGCGAGGACTGGACTATGTTCACTAGGGGGCTCCGGGCACATGGCTGTAATTATCAGCTACAACAACCAAAAAAGCCAATGGCTGATAAAATCATTTCTCCTTTTCTCAGTGCTTATCCAGTAGCCATCTGAGATATTGGTGCACCCCTAGTTCCTAAGCATAGAGCTGACTTGTTTTTGAAAGCAAAGCCTAAAATGCAAGCTGTTTTCAGATTTTGTAAGTGCTTCTGGACAGCAACTCTGTCTTCTTATAGCCTTGCACAGTGTCTAGCATTACTTTTTATGCATTACTCTGATATAACTACTGCTGCTACCTCTCATTATTACAACAACAACAGCAACAATTATTATTATTTACATGGTGTATCTTCCTATTAAATAAACAATTGTGTAAATAACTGTCTGAAACAGTCAAACTTACCAATTCATTGAAAAACTAAGACAAATTATATTTTAAAATATATTTAATTAACACTGGATACGTTGTAGATCAGAGATATAGCTATATTAAAAAAAGAGACCTTGTTCATCTTCCTCAGCAGACAATACCTTTTCCACCCCCAAAACCATAAAGAAAAGTTAAAGGTCAAAGATATGCCAGACGATATATACACAGCTTTCTTTTTCACAGCTTAATGTGTTATTGCTTAATTTAGTAGTTTGGTTTATTAAGTGCAATTTCTAGCTGTAGCAAGATGCACTGAAAATGGTCCCTAAAATTAAGTTTAAGTCTGTGTGTACTATAATTATCCACAGGAGACAAAAAGAAAGACAAAATCTAACACGTACTTTTTGCTGCATTTCTTTCACGGCATAGTCTCTATCCATGCATGCCTGTCGAAAGGCTTCATAAGCTTTATTAAGCTGCTCTCCAATATTTTTATCCATACCTCCCAGCGTTGTCTCATCACTGAAAAGATGGATTAGTTAAGAGACCTGAAAAGTGATTAGAAAGAAAAAGATAGTTAATTTAACAAAATGTGTAATTCTAGTATTACATAGATCATGTAACAACTTCTATCATCAAATACCTGCCACGCTAACTATATGGGACCAAAACAAACAAACAAACAAATCACACAATCTGATGGCTCTGCTCAAGCAAATATTTTATTGTGGTATGAACATAGGCCTGACCTAAAGCTGAATGACATAATTTTGATTTTGGATTACATCATATATACACATGCATAGTCCCACTGGGATAATGTACATGTGTAGATTAATACAGGATTGAGATCCAGTTGTTGTATACCAGCAACTTTTTGATTTCAGGACACAAGTGTTAGAGAACTGAATAAATAATCAACAATCCAAACACCACAAAGCATATCAAACAACATAGGACAGCTTATATTTTGTTATCTTACAACACCTACAACAAAAACAGCAATATAAAGTCAACAGGTAAATAACAGAGTTAGCTGGGGTGGGCGGAGCAGCCATGGGAGGGGCTGGGAGAGCAGGCGGGGGCCAGTGGGGCTCACAGCAGAGCCCCCCATGCGGCATGGGGCAACAGGGGACAGCAGGGATTAACCCCCTCCTCCCCCCCTCACCTGCTGCATTTGGTGAGTAGGGGCTTTTCTTTTTTTAAACAGCCGGAGCTGGGGCAGGCAGGGCAGCCTTTGAGAGCAAGCAGGGGATGGGGCTGATTTAGCAGTAGCTGAATCTCCGAATCAGATTCGGCCAAATTGATTCAGGACAGTGATCTGAATCACTGAATTGAATCACTGTCCCCTGAATTGGACGAATCTGAAACGAATATTAGCCGTTTTGCAGAGGCCTACTAAATAATGGCATAGGGACACAATCCATTTCTTATACTTAAACACATGGATTTTTAATAAGAAACACTGCAAGGAGTATCAAAACCACTTTATTTAATGATCAGAAATACTAAACAGTGAAAAAAACCCAAAACGTCAGCTCTTTCCCCCTACAGTGGGTGTCACTTGCTTGTATTTATTAAACAGCTTCAATATCAATGCTTGGAGCTAGAGACCTCCAGTACTGATCCTATATAGTCCCTAGGATAAAACTGACTTGTCACAGATTTCCATTTGAAGATAAAGACAAACTTGGAAACAGCCAATCCTTTGCTCCTAAAATTAAAACTTCTTGCTCAATTATTAATATCTGTTTAGAACAAACTTTTAATATTTTAGCCTTTCCAAGATTCATAGAAATAAAAAAAAAATCTAAGCCTTTAAGTTTAGCTTAAAAATAAAATAAAATAAACTACACCATAAAGAAAGACAGACAGTTTCAACTCCCTTTTTACCTTTAAATTAACATGATTATATTTTAAGTGATTTAGGTGAGGAATGAGTGAGGTTTGTTTGTTTAAGTACAGAAAATAGCAACATTAAAAATATAAAATAACGCCCCCCCTTACTCAATTGCTAAGCAGGGTCGCCTGGCTCTTCCCATCATTCTACAGTGCAGGAAGCCTGCACCAAACCAAACGTTCCTAAGTTTTATAAAAGAATCTGGGTGCAGCCCAGGACAATATAAACATGAAAAACAGGGACACAGAATATCTTGTTTTTTGACCATATTAGACATCTCCCGAAACTCCTGTTTCATGTTTGTGGCCGTTACCGAGTGTCCTCTATACTCCAGAACCTTAATAAAAGGATGCGAGTCGGGGGCAGCAATTTTCGGTTACAGTGAAATGCCACAAGGCCCTGAATGGATGCCCTAGGTCCCCGGGAGATTCTGTAAAGGTGAGCAGTCTTGGAAAACAGACCAGATACCTGTTCCACAAAATGCAGATAGAGGTGCATCGATATATTTGTCCAATACTGGATCAGCACCGATATAAAGAAAATCAACTACATCAGAAGTCAGCCTGAAGTAGCCAATAAATACCTGTGTGTGAATGAAGCTGCAGTGCAGCACACAGGTAGTGAGGAGCACAGCCCAGCAGCATGGAAAGCTGCGTGCATCTGGTAAATTTGTTGTGGTGGAAGGGGAGGGAAGGGGCATGGTGAGGCAGATCAGCACTTCCCGCAGTGAGGGAGGAAGTGGGGCAGGGGCTGCAGCCCTCCCAGCCTGCCCCATGCAGATCCAGGGGCACACGCTCCTCCTCCCCCCGCTCCCCTTCCCTGCCCCGCCCCCCCC